GATTTTCCGACTGAATGGTAAGAACCATTCAAAAATAAAAAAGCCCTCTACACAGAATCAAGTACTGACTACATTTAATCCATCCTGTTCCTGAAGGCTTGCCTCAACTCAAGCTAAATGTGAATAAAACCAACTCCATGTTACTGGTACCGAAAACAGACGTTCCACTCATAAATTCAACCCATATATTTCTTCATTAATCTATTAACATCAATTACTTTGTTTTGCATACAAGTTCATGTTCATATTTGTACAACACTATTTATCACAACTACATGATTAAATCAACATGGTACCTATGTAACCAGAAATAACTTCTAACATTTGTAACTTTAACTGCAACATAATATTAACACAATATGCTGACATTAATATGACAACAAATTACACTTTTTTCCTAAGAACATGTCTTCAGTAATCTAATTAAAAAATGTAAAAATTAAATGAAAGGTTGAAACATATAATGCACTGATAGATGTGACTTCTGACAAAATTGCCAGTACATATCGATAGCCTGATGGTATTCACACCAGTGCACACCAGCTGAGAAAGCGCACTGTTAATACTAATAGCGCAAAACAATACTTAAAATGTGCAGTAGCATTATAACTATTACATACACTGCACAATATGAGGGGAGCCTGAAAAGTAATGAGCCTGGTAACACTGCTCATCTTCGGTGGCCTTGACTGAGACTGTGCATGCACTGCTGTTTCAAGTGTGTTTAGCTGTTAGTGCAAAGGTCGTCACTTTCCATAGCATGTGTTTACACAAGCTCTTGTAAGAAAACTGTTTTGCAATGGTGGACCAGAACATTATTTCATATGCTAGAGATGTGTGACAGAACTTTATGTGAAGCTCAGAAAAAGCGTGAAGAGACAGAAATGTCATAGAATGCATATGGTACATAAGTGATGTGCTGAGCTACAGTGTTCTGATGTTGGAAGCATTTTAAAGGTGGAAATAAGAGTGGCTGATTTAAAGCAGGAGACCAAGCATTGCTGTCACAGATGTCGATAATAATAAAGATGAAATGATGAAGGATAGGATTACTATGCAAATATATTTAAAACTATTTTACAGAATGTTATTCTGAAAACAAAAAGCATTACAGTTCTTAATGAAAAGATGATTTCTGCTGCAAGACAATGAAAAACTGCATACTGCACATGATGGTGGGCATGCTAACAGACATACGTGGAACACCTGTAGAAGACCCACCCTCTAGTCCAGACCTTGTTCCGTGCGATTTTTAGGCATATCTAATGCTTAAACATGAGCTATGTGAGCAGAAATTGAGCACTGAACTGAAGTGAAAGAAGCCACTGCCACTACTCCATGCAAGATGTTTAGATATGACCTACTGCAGGTGTTTGCGAAGTGGGTAGAACACTGCAAAACATAAAGCATGTGAAGGGCAATATTTCAAAAAAGAAAGTGCCCAAGCCTCAGGAGTCCTCACACAGGAAGTAATGTGAATAGTCTCATTACTTTTCAACTCCTCTCATAAATAGGGATCAATATCCATACTAAACATATTTTAGATGTCACTTCTTTGCACTACATTATACACCATAACCATGCACACAGACATACAATCTGCCAATCTACTAGCTGCTTCAATAATTTTCAATTATTATCACAGTATATCCATGTCAACGTTAATTATGTCCACTATCAAACATGCTACTACATCTACAGGCCAGTCAAACAACAACTTGGTGGGAAGCAGTTACCACAAAGGGGCAGATGACCTACATCTGTATGATTTTAAAACTCAAAGAGCTATAACATTTCAGGAATTTTCAACCCAACAGACAAGTACAAAAGCTGTTCAGTAAATAAGTGGACAACCTACTATATGCTTCAGGGCATTCTCTCAGCATCAGCCATCATCCTGCTATAAGAATGGTATCAGTTCACTGGTGAATTGGCTTAAAAGCGATGAAGATTTCTTATATAAAAGTCAAAGTTTCATACACATCATCACTGTCATCCATTTATTTACTAAACTACTATTATAGAGTAGTATTATCCTATATTATACTTCTGAATTACAGAAACACTTTTAAGAACATTTGAAATCAGCAAAATACATAATTGGAATTTTTCAGTTCATTAAAAAATTCAAGTAACTATGACATCTTAATGCTACAAAAAAGTCAGTCCATATCTGAGATGCAGATTCTAAGACTACATACACTAGATGACTGAACAAAACAAAATTAAAAAATTATTAATACACAATCGGCAAGTATTAATACATCTTTTGTTCATAATTGCTGGTAGCAGATAAACTAACATTTTGAGAACTTCAAAATCTGTGTAAGCTCAACATAGAAAATTTAAGAACCTCTGGTATTCTTCCAGGACAGCCTGACGTTATCATTAAGCCCAGTATTATTTCCAATCTCGCAGAATACTACTAAAACAGACATTTATAGAATTATTCAACCTGATGTAGTTTTAATTTTTTAGCCTTAAGGTGACAACCAACACTTAAACTGGAACATACAATGTGAATGTTTCACTAATAAACAGTAGAAGAGAATGGCAGAATGGAGTAAGATATATATTATATTTTCAATATACAGACATAAAGTTCTTGTACAGAACATGAGTGCTGTAAATTGAATCAAACTGTCTTCTTTTAAATTCTTGTTGGAATAATTTAAAGTTGAAGGTACACACACACACAAAGTGGCAAAGCATATTATGGAGCTTTAAAAAAAACCATACAATGCATACAGTGATGGGCATTTATAGGCCTGAAAAAGACAATGGAAAATTGTTCTGGAGTCTGCATTAAGGTACAATACTATTCCCAATGTTCCAACTAGTATTCTTAACATTATCATAATAAACTTTACCACTGGGTCATATCTGCACTTGAATGTAAACCATATAGTATGTGGATATTAACATGTTAACACTCCTTGGAATCGTGTGTATATATTGTGATGCGTTACCTTAGGTCCATCACCGCAACAACCACTACAATCAGAACGGACACTTCCACAGCAACTAATATGTGGAAATTGGGTAGTTAACGCAGCAACAAATTGTAGCAACGAATTGTCGTTGAGTAACATCGGACGAGACGGAACACGTTACCGGTGTAATTTATAAAGAGAGTTCCCGAAGCAACGGATGGCTGAACACGTGAGACTGAACCTTGGCACGGGGTGCCCTCTATTAAGTCCGCGTCCGCCTTATATACAGGGCATGGCCTCGAGCAGAATACTGAGTATTGAGTATTGGAGTACTGAGAGGAGAAAATCTTGCGATAGCCGCTGCCAGAGACAGTTGAGATCCAACCACAGCCAAGGATAGTTGAGACATTGCATTGGAGTATTGAGTATTGGGCCAGAAGTCAAGTGATATTGCAAGTGATAATAATTGTATGGTGTGTAAGTGTGAGCGTCCAATAAAGATTCGCTAAATCCAAGACCCATGTGAAGTTATTTGTCACGTGACATACCCAACATGTGACAATATGCTGGAAAAAGACAAATAGGCAAGCCTGAAGTTTTGCCTTCACATGAATGTCAAGATTTAATCTATGATCTGGAACACTGAAAGTCACTGAACATAATCATCTCTCTCAATTAAGGCCAAATATAATCTTTTCACTTCTGCCAACTTGTCAGTTTCCAGCATATCATGTATTGTTCAATTCATGGTCTGCAATACTTAACTGTGAATCAAATAATCAAATATTACATTCCATTACTGTACAAAAATGAAAAACAATGAGGTTATCCTTGTAAGTTAAACATGTGGCATATCGTACTGAAGAGTGATGTTTTTGTAAGATATCATGCAGTCCATGCAGACACACAAGCAGGCATACAAAGCAACAGGCAAAAAGTTTACTACACAGTGCAACAGAACTACCCAAGCAGGCAGAGCAGGAAACTATCTGACCTGGTCTGTGTACTGCCCATGGAGTTGTATGAGCTGGGTTGGTGCTGGGCCCGAACTGGGAAAACCAAACCATCCCCCAAACTAGAACAGAAGTAAGACTCTCCAGTTACCAACTGATGCGTACATGTTGCATCATGGAGTATGATGAAATACTAGTGGAAGGAGCAGAATGTTCCACTATTGGTGGGAAATTTACATAATTAATAAATTTTGATCTATAAAGTTTCATTATGAACAATGTAACTTTATCTTTATTGTTTGCATCCTGCTGTGTATTATACATAATATTATTACACAACCATCAACATAACAAATTCATAATAAATAACCAATGTTACTTCATTATCATTCATTTTATTATGCACACTGCTACATGTTTCGATCCAGCTGGATCATCAACAGGCAATTTTTCATGAATATGAAATTCATATTAATGATTGCTAACAGATATCCACATTAGAGATACATATAAATACAATTCAATAACAAATAGCACATTTCATGAAAAATGGCCTGATGATGATCCATCTAAATTGAAACATGTAGCAATGTATATAATAAAACAAATGATATACGAGTATATATAAAGTTGGTAATCTATTATGAATTTCGTGCACTGACAGCTGTACAATAATACTAAATGTAACTTTACTCGCAATTATTACGTGTTAAATATAACTTATGAGGATAAGGAGGAATGATTTTAAATTTTCCTGGTCAGCACTGCAAATTAGATATGAATCTTTAACATTAATATCTCTTCTAATGCAGATATATACAGATATCATTATTAATGAATGCAAAAGTTGTGGTGGTCAGCCAGCAAATGTATTTTCTCAACTATGTGAGACTCAAGTAAAGGTAACTTGAGATTTCAACACAGTGTATAATTCTTAGTAATAATCTTCAGTGCCTGATAATTCTACACAAAACAAAACAAAAATATGGAAACTGGCTTCATAATAATGCCTTATATTTGTATATGACTGTAATCAAAGAGCAAAGAATGCATACAGAATAAATTACAATCATAACAAATGCTACTATATATTCACTATTTTCCATGTAATTTTATTTAACTCCAAAACAATGTACAATATATTAAAACAACAACATACAGAGACTCCACTGTAATCACCAACTAATTTTCCAAACCAACACATTTAACTACTTCACAAAACATTCCAAAACTGAAATTAAAAAGAAAACATAAACAAACATAACAGACTCCTCCTTAACAACTTTTACAATGATAACATTTAATAAGGCAATCCATAATACCCTTTTATTCGCCCGTTTCATATTGAAATAGTCTTAATTTAACTTCTCTCATGGCATAACTGTGAAGAGTACTGCCTTCTTGGATGTGATCCTATGTAATCTGGTAGATACCAATATTTTGGCGGTATCTGCCACCTCATCTGAAGGGCAGAAGAGTGGAAACTAAGGCAAGACATTCCTCCAAAAACACTCTTAATGATCTACCAGATGACATGGCATCACACCTCAGAAGACAGTAGTGTTCAACTTTAGTTACGTTCAACAAACTCCATATTAGCACACTAAAATAAAATGTGTACTATTCATCAACTATGATATTCAGAACAAAACACAATTATCATTATTACTGTTATCATTTTATCATTGTGTATTACATGTCCCTTTGCTTTTAGAAACTGCTGGCATCACAGTTCAGTCAGGAACAGAAGACTTTTTAAGGCATTTTATACTTTTTTTCACATAATGATGTCTTTCTGTTTGCTGAGCTTTTGTCACAAATGAAATATGTAACATCATCGGTATATTTGACAATTATTTCCTAATGTCAGTCTTTTGATCAATCCAGCTAACTGGTAGTTATAATACTTTGTGACATTCTGTGTTATTATGAAGTTATGCTTGTCCTGCATATACTACATAGCAGAATACCTTACATATCTGTGTACATTCCATGCCTCTGTACTGTTTTGCTTCATTTTTTGTTTGAGTGCGCTATAATCTGAAAATAACTCCTGCAGCTGTTGACTTAGCATATAAAAATAGAGGATATGACTGTAATAATAATAATAATCTTACTCCTGCTAAATGTGTACGATTCACATCCCCAATGAGAAACCACGTGCCACATTCATGAAGACACAGTAACATTACCATTTTTTTCATCAGCAGTTTCATCACTTATAATAATGTAATTACAAGAACACAGACTGCTGATGTCTGAGAACAAAGTGGTTAGGCCAATATTCATATCTAAGAGAGAGGACGTAATAGTACAATGGAGAAAACTCCCTAATCAGAAGCCTCAGTTCATCTTCTTCACTATTAGGGTGACCAAATCAGATCATGGGAAAGGTAGAAAAATAGTTTTTTTTCTTAGTTGAAGAATCTGAAGGGAGAGGACCACATGGAAGACCTATGTATTGTGGTGTATAGATCCACTGCTAAGTGCTGACTTTGTGAATAGCAACCACTACTAGATAATACCTGCAACATACAAGCACACAATAGAAAAGCTGTTTTTTCTGCTGTTCCATGCCAAGGGATTATAAAGAGCATAAAGCAGAGAGCTTAGTTCAATTGTGAGATGGTAGCTGGCCAGGAATGACTTCCACATTTTCTAGACGATTACAGATGACAGTTAGGTGGTCAGCCCTACTTGCTGGCTGCCCTTTGCCCCCAGGAATATTCCTGGTACTTATTTCTATTAGAAGCTGAGTCAACCCAAGGGCCATGGTGCAGCTGGAAGGATTAGTTCAACTGAAGAATCCATCAGGAATCGAACCTATGACTGTCTAGCTTGTAGCACAGTGCTTATTAGTGCAATGATCTTTAGAAAACAGGGTGTGAGCATGTGGACTGAATTCAACTGGCTTATGTGGACATGGTAACAGAATTTCATCATCCACATAAAGCAGGAATTCCTCAAAACCAACAGAATGAATAGAGGTGCCTAAGGAAGGACAACAGTACCATGGAGTTAGCTACATTTAATTAACTTTTTTAAGAACTTTTGCCAGGGATAAAATAGAACCATAGTTATATTCAGATCTCTTACATAGCTTGTTTCAATGAAGATGCTCTATAAGCATCTCAAAAATATATATTACAGTGAAGAAAATTCATGGTTATAAAAATATTGCGGCATGTAGACCCATCACCAGGCAATGTCTGCGAAACAAACAGCTAGACCAAGGCCATTACTAGGGAAGAGCCCATAGACAGCAACAGAGGAATCATGTTTTCTGTGCAGTCCGTGCTGAGATGTGATAAGCAGGACAAGTGTTGGTTGGTGAGTTTGTGAGTTAGAGGACTGCTACAGTTCAGTTGTTGTAAGCTGCTGCTGTTAGAAGCTGGCAGTTGAGGCTGGGGCCAGTTCAGGAACCCAGAGGAAGGGACATCTCCTGTTGGAAGCTGCTACCAAGAAACAGCTAGTGGAGACTGTAACAGACTGTGCACACTAGTGTGTGTGCAATAGTGAAATGTAAAGTGTATTCACATGCTGTATCAAAGAGTCAAATAAAATCAACTACCAATCAAAACCCCATCTAAAATAATTCTATCACATGACAATACTTTATGGAACTCCATACAAAAACAAAGGTCATAAAACAGAACGGGACAATTTTTGTATTTTATTTCAGTCTGCAGTGAATAATGCAAATTATGCAACATATTTTCTAATGCACATTCATGACAATACATCCAAAAATGCAAGTCAGGCAATAAACTTTAAATTTGTTTCTGCTTCATATAAGATATGAAGTCAAGTATACTACAATAATCAACAAGCTCCCATGTACATAAGTACATTTAAAATCAGAATCACTACAGTTATGGTTCTCTAACATCCCAATTGAATAGAAACAGTAAGTAGACCATGCATTTCAAGTACTCTTTCCTGGTACTTAAAATAATGAGCAATTACTTGAAGGCAGAAATAAGTTTGCATTTAGGACATTAATTAAGAGCTGTTTAGGACCTAAGGCTCTCACACCAGTGACTAAGAAGATTCCTATCTCCTGGGATATAACACCATACAGTCCACCAAAAGTCAACTAACATTTCAGAGGCAACAGATTCCTCTAAAATGTTGGCTGACTTTTCAATAGCTTACATGGCATTATATCCCAGAAGGCAGAACTTTTAACAAACATACTAATTTTAAGTTGAAAATCATATTGAAATATGTAAAAGTACTGGAATTCCCTTACTGCATACAATTGTTGAACATACTTCCTAGGTCACCTCTCCTACTTCCTCTTTGTCCATCCTGGGTTTGGCCACCAGGCAACAATAACCTATTATTATTTCACAGTATATAAAGCACTCCACAGCTACCACTGTTCATTGCATGACAACCTATCAGTGTATGTAGTGATCAGTATGTGGTGTCATGGTAGTAAATAACAGAAATACATGTAATATAATCTTCAAACTTTGGATATCAATTTCTTTTCCTATCAGCAGGAATCTACTGTCATAATAAATCAGCAATATCATTATTTCATTATGAAATCACTAATTTATTATGACCATACATTATGGTATGAGGCTATTGTGAACACAGTAATGAACCTTTGCCTCCCATAAAATGTTGGGAACTATTTGATTACAATTTACAGTATTTTTTTTATTTCTAGTGGGGTGGGACTAAGTCCCTTGTACTGTGGCCACTTCTGGCCTATTGTACCAGCCACAGATGATAGGTGAAGGTGATTGTGGAGCAATTGGTGGAATGAAGATTGGCAGGGGAACCGAAGTACATGGAGAAAACCTGCACCAGTGCCACTTTGTCCACCACAAATTGCACTTGACCAGACCCGGGACTGAACCTTGGGCCGCCGCAGTGGGAAGCCAGTGACTAACTGCTTGAGCTATGGCGCGGCCCAATTTACAGTAAGAAAAGGTTGAGCAAGGAATGCCAAATTTTGTTAGCTATTAATATTTGTTTTCGGTGTATTCTTATGTCAGTAAATTACACGGTCAAGATCTTATAAATTATATGACCATTCCACTTGTAACACACACATATCACACTGAAACTCCACAAAGTCTTTTACTGTTAACATGTGAGTATGCTAAAGGATTAACAATCATGTTAGAATTTATACTTTTTTCAGAACACTACTCTCCCTGAAGCTGTATATTGGTTGCCAAATAAGAAAAATCTATTAATTTTGAGAAAATGTACAAAAGGAAAATGATAACAATATCTGGTGCTGAGTAGTTACGCTGTGACAAGCTGGGCAAGTAGCTCGGGTAAGAAAACTTACCATTAAACAATTCTGACTTTGGAATTCTTGAAAGAAAGTCATTTGGATGTGAAGATGGGAGGATAATACAGATACACATATTAAAGAACTAGGCTGTAAAATGTTAAATTAACTGAAATAATTAAAGATTGGTCCCAATGACAGGATCTGTTACTGGTGTTAATAAATGGTTTAGTTATTAGTGTTAGTTGCATAATTTTATGAGTGAATGTTCTTAACAGCTGATAAATACTGTTTAAGATATCATGGAGGAGTACTTTCAAAGCTGGTATGTGCACACCACATTTACTCTAATTTTCACTTCATTTCCGATATCTGGAATATGAGACACACATAAATTATAAATTTAAGAGACATTACATTTTAAAAAGCAAGTAACATTTCCACAAATTTTGTGCAGATCCTGAACATTGCATGTAGTTCCCATACCACCAAATGGACATATTACAGTTCTGATCCTTGTGCTCAAATTCTAAACAAACTGCTTCCATTGCCGAGATACCGGCTGCTCATATTATAAGGTAAGGTTATAAAACCACCTTTTTAGATCATTTTAGTAAAAGTTTCATGTTCCTATCTCATAGAATTTAAGAACAATGATGAATAAATCATTTTCGAGCAAAATTTAAATGGCCGGCTGAATATATTACCGCAGGAGACGCGGCCGCGGAATTTAAATGACCACGTCAAAGGGTTAAGGTTAGCTGTAACTAATTCCAGTCTGAAGGAAAATCATTCATTTCTACAAGGACACATGCACCATTCTTTCTTTTTGCTACAGTGCTCATTATAATTCCGAAAACCTACATTCTATTTAAAATCAGCATTAGAGAAATTCTTAACATCACTGGAAATGTTCTCAAGTGTGTGTGGAACAAAAAAAAATTCAGTTCAAATTTGCAAAACACATGCAATGAATATGTAACCAATATCCTGTTGATTTTCTTGAAGTGTACAAATTTTTTGTTTTATATTTATCATAAAGCATGGTCTACTTATACATGACATATTCTTAAATGTGTTCTGTAACACTGTGCACAAACCGATAACAGATAGCAGACCAAATGCTAAGAAGTGTAGAAAAGGCTTTATTTCTATTTATGTGCAATGTAAGCAAGCAAACATAAAAGAAAAACAGTCACAGGAGAAAAAAAAACATTATAAAAACAAGTTCCAAGAAGAAAAAGGCCATATGCTTTGCATTTATAGTGTGCATATTCAGTGTTTATAACGTGAATGTCTCTGAAAAAGAAAAAGCATATTATGTCAAAGTTTTTGTTATATATACATACCAAGTTGAAGAACCATGCCCTTAGCAAATAAGTTTCACCAGCTTTCTTTGCTAACACAATTCTGGCAATAATTATGGTTTCTGGATTTAGCAAATAGGTGCATTTTATTCTATAAGAATCCAAATTCTTCTCTAAAAGTGCAGTATGACTTCAGATTTACTCATATTTCTATACTTCATTGCAGATCTTACATTGTTACAACAGTACTCCACAGATGAAGGCTTCTTTCATTCAATAACAGTACAGACAAGACAGACTCAACATGGCACCAGAACAACAACAGAGAGATAGTACAGCTTACTGTCAGATAATCACAGGTAACAATGCACGAAGATCACGGTGTACCTGCTAAGTAAATTCAAGGATGCAACATGCAGTGGAACCTGCATTTAATGTATCTTGATTTAAAGTTTTTCTTCATTTACTGCTCAATTTCAATGATCTTGGTGTTAATTTCCTCCATTCAAGATTTTCCTCAGTTTAATGTTTCAAGCCACTGCTATCCAAAGAAACTTTACATGGGGGTTTCACTGAATAATGTTATGAACATACCTCAGTTTGAACTTACAGGAAACAACACGGACAAATAACATTAAAGGACATACCGAAATAATGATCTCACATATGAAATATAGAAAAAGGAACTGAGGAAATGAGATTGAGGCAGACTTTGTATCCACCCTGCACACTAATCGCAGTTACCCACTGATTAAAATATTACTTCTTAACAAAGTACAAACTATCAAAGTAAATTAAAGCATCAATTACAACTAATGAACAGAACTTGAACATCTTGTGTTCATACCTCAGATTCATGTAATACAAATTTCACAATTCACTGTTCTCTTACAACTAAAAAGTTAGACACAGAGCAGAGTGGAAAATCACTTTTGTTTATTCTTCACTAATTAGATTGAGA